GAGCAATGTTAATGAAATTTTACTGATAAGTTATTGCTAGTTACAATGGCCTTCAATGCCAAGTGACACTCATTTCCCCTCTAGGTTCTCCCTCCTGCAAAGGGGCCATATGCCCTCATCAGACAGCTGAATTGCCTTCTCTCAGTCTTCACCATATCTTCACCCTCCTCCTTCATCTGCAAGTATTGCCTCTATGACAACATCTGACTCCTCTGGTAGCTCTTCCCAAAAACCTAACCAGTCCCTCTGGGACTCATCATCAAAGACAAGTTTGATGCTAACTAAATGTGGCAAGTCTCAGCATCAAGACTCATCAACTTGAGTCACAAAGCTGAGTTGTTAGTGGATTCTTCTTCTTCTGGGAAGACTAAATGCTATATGATCAAGATGGAATATCTTCATAGGAAGGAGGAATTGATGAAAGAGCAGGTGGAAATGGCAACTAAGATGGAATTGGAGTTGGAGGTGAAGAAACTTGACATCCAGCTGATGAAGGCCCAGGAGATCACCTTCAACAGTGAGGCAGAGACACTTTGCCTCAAAATCAAGCTTTCAAAACTCATGAAGGCCGATTCAGATGCAACCCCTCCCACTGCATAGGTTTATCTTGTTGTGGCCAAGTTTTTACCCATGCTTCCCCACTGTATCCATCTCCAGCATGTTCCCACTATGTATTCATGTCATATTCATGTTTCCGCTATTCTCTTGCAAGATGTACATATGGTGAATGTATTTTTTTCATCTTGCTAATACTACTGTCTCCCACAACTGCCATTAATGGGTTTGTTCCCATCTGAGATGTTGAAACAACTGATCCAATAGCTTTGCTCGAAATCACTGACCAATAGTCTCCACAGCCTCCACCACAGCAATTCCATCCCCATCATCAAGGCCACTTCCTTTGTTAACTGCCCAATCAGTTGAATGCTCAATTGTATTGTCCATTTCCTCCTCAAACTGGATGATCATGTTGTGTAGGATGATGCAACAAAGCACCCAGTAAATCATGACTCTCATATCTTTCTCTGTCCAGATTTTCAGGCACACTTCACAGAGGCTTTGAAAGCACCCTTTCAAGGTGGCAAATGCATGCTCAACTTGTACATGGATCTTCCAAAGCTGTCAGCCCATGTACTGTGGCAAAACTAGGTGTGTACCTTTGAAAGGTACTTGTTATACACATTCTGATCTCAAGATAATCTCCCACCTTTAGGTTTTTTGAAGGGGACAACACACCACATCTCTGATGGGTATGCACTGTCTGCCCACATCCAATGATCACATGGAATCAACTGCATAGGGTTTGAAGTGATGTGAGTCCCCTGGAAGGCCCATGCATCATGGATGCTTCCCAGATGTCCAAGTCTGTAGTCCACAACAAGAAGATTGTGCAGCAACACAATAAGCTATCTTGGTAAGTTTCTTCTGCTGTTCACACTCAGTGTTTGAGTACACACCTGGCGGTTCAATGAGTACCTAGATTTTCTATCATAGAACATTTCCCCAAAGATATGTGGTTTCTCAAAGAAGGGAATACTCGAACCATCAGCAGCAAACACACCATTCCTCCAGGCTGAACAGGTGCATGACTCAGTGAAAACCCACACTCTTTCCATCTCCTGCAAGTCTTCAGATGGAATATTGATGAATCTATCATGCTCATCCAGTATAGCTACCATCACACAGTTTGTACAATTGACAACTGAGCCAACACTAACACTGGCCCACTGCACTACATCCTCAGGCAATGCCACATTTCCATAATGCCCTGCATGGAAAAGGAAGATCACCAACTGGACTGTGACTGCCAGCTGACAGTTTTCAGAATTTCTTTGGAATATTGCATGTCCACTAATCTGATCCAGAATGCAATCAAAAATTGGTGGGTCTACATGAAGGTGCTTTCGAAACAGGTGGGGCTGATGATCTGTGAAATGTTCAAGGAGGCACAGCTGAGATGCCTGCATCATTGGCATCTCAGGTCTCTTAAGGATATGCACATGCTCTACTTCATCTCTGAGAGCCATGATTGCATTTAGCAGCCAAGCATAATGCCCATCATGCTCAGCTGTGGAGTCTGTGTCATCAGAGGTGCTGGATTCAAAATCTGACAGGATCAGAGTGACTGGCAACAGTGGAGTGATGAAGAAGAGAGTTGTGGGGGAGCTGGAGCCTGAACTCAGCAACGTTGACATAGATTCCAAGCTGCTACCATCAACTCCACATCATGCATTTTCAAGCCTTGCTATCACAACATGAAGGCTAGTCTTGTCCAGCTGTTTGAGCAGATCTTGGCAGACAGATTTCTGGGGCATCTGGTAGCTCTTGGATGATGGGTAGATGTTTATTGATCATGTACAATGCATTAATACAAGTTTGATATGTTATTTGACATGTATCTTCCAGGATAAGTAACTACCATGTATTGCTAGTCAAGCAGTGCCACAGGGCCTGGCATGTCAGAGTCAAATTTTATAGCAGCAGTGGCACAATTCCAGAGCAATTCCAAAGCCACCTTGAGTGCCACTAATTTGTACTTCAGAATACTGGTGCAGAGAACCTTATATTCCTGTGGTGTCATTATGCCTCATTCTGTTCTCCCACTTGGTACCATAGGCTGATTGCATAACAGCATCAGGAAAATAACACTCTACTATTTTTGACTTTTTGTGACTAATGTGACTTTTTGGGAAGGAATCTACTATCATTACCCATGTCCTGCAGGCATGGCTGCACTTTTCTTGCTGATTTTGGTCTTGTTCAAACCACCTAATTCACGGCTTTCAATAGATACCACATACATTCAAATTGATGGAGATTCCAAAGAGATATTGTGATTTTTCTCTCAGACAGTGTGCATCACACCAATGGCTCAATATCTCTGAATTTTCAGACATTTTCTAGTCTTCTTGGCTTAGATATATCATCACTTAGTTGTCTCAATAGACTCTGTTCTCTTTTCATTCTTCAAAATGCTGTATATGGTCAAAAAAAAAGTACAGATAGTAGGTTCCTTCCCAAAAAGTCACAAATAGTCACAATAGTCACAAAAAAGTCAAAGAAAGTCACAAAAAGGTCAAAAATAGTAAAGTGTTGATTTCCTGATGAGGCTTCTCCAATGACGAAACCACTCTACACCTCGTCGCATCCTCACTCACCTACGTGTGTCTGGTGACATACGCGAGAATACCATCCAGTTGTCCAATTTGCCTTTTCCTTCCCGTGGGCGATCGTGCGTCCTCCAGGAACCGCCATTTACGTCCGATCATTGGCCACACGGACAGCGTGCACGAGTGCGAGACTTCGATTCTGATCACGCCCACCCCGTCCCTCTCTCCTCCCTCTGAATCGGTGGCTTTTCTTCCTTACGATGGTCAGGATGGAGATGGGCCTGCCGGAGATCTAGATTTTATTTCCCATCTGCAAATTGCGTCCTTAGATACTGCTTCTGCCTCTGCCTCAGATTTCCCTGCTCTTTCCCCTACTTGGAGTCGTCTCAAGAGACGGGGACGTCACAAAAGATGCTCTCTACCTCCTCACACGAGGATACATCGTTTGAATCTCCCTTATTCACACCATCAGGCCTATCTTTCCTACTCACTCGAAAACTGACATCGCCTAGCGATGGAAGTATGCCAACGATTGTCGAACACTCACGATCATCGTCTCTCACAACTGGGGGGTCCCTCCCTGACGAGCCTCGCTATAGAAGGAGGGACGAGATCGCTGCCCGGGAAAGTGGTATTTTCCCAATACAAGAGCAAGAAGGAGCACTACCGCGTACGCCATCTGAAGCGGCGCCCTCATTGCCTCGGCACACCGTCATCGCCCATCGCGATCCCCCCTCCAGTCTGGGTCCTCCCGAGAAAACTGTTCTCACGGGTTTGGGTGCCAGATTGCATCACGTATTTGAAATCGACGTCGATATTTGCGATGTGGCAAAAATAGCCATTTCCTCTGTTCCTGCAGTCATTTTTGGTGCCCTTTTGAACATCTTGGATGGTCTCTCCTGTGAGGGATTCTTTCTGCGTCCTTCCTATTCTCTTCATGGACATTTCCGCAGATGGAATGATAATGTTTCCTGCTTCCAGTGTTTTCACTAGCTTGGGTGGAATGGGCGTATCGCTATTTTTCGTCTCGTGAGTACGAGCTTTCCTTTGCTAGTGTCGATGGTATGGCATTCCGACACCACCATCCGACTCGAATCCCGGTTCCACCGCTTTTTTGCTTTCTCGAGAATATGGGCACAAAATTCAGGGGATGGCTTGACACTTGAAACTGAATTCATTTCCAGAGCAGTGACTTCCCTATTCATCTACTCGTTCGGCGGAAGTCAGTTCGCAGGTGCGAATGGGAGTAACATGATCGAGACAGTCGTATGTCCATAACCTTCTCACAATTTCCAATCTGATCCCGCTTCCGATGTCCGAATACTGTGCTTCCTATTGCCCAAATTTCCTGTGAGGGCAGCCGTTTTTCCATATCATCGCATCGACAATAGAGAGAGATCGGGAAAGAGCACGTGCGTGAAGTGATCGCAACAACGCTTATTGCATTTCCCTTGTCCTCTGTTTTGACAGGTAAGTAAATTTGTCAAACCATAACGCACTTCATCTTGTCTCGATGATGGAGCCTGCGTACCAATAGTTGGCGCGGATGATGTACGGACTGACGTTCCTCCTGCTGGGATACCTACTCTCGGTTTCATCATCGGATTCTTCCCGAGACATATCCTCGTCGGGTGCATAGGTGGAGTTGGCGTGTCCCTTATTTTGACAGAGTGAGCAAAACTCGGATTGACTGGGGCACTTATATTCGGATCCATATCTAATTCTGCCACGTCCGTCGATATGTTAGATTGACAGATAGCACACGTCTGCCCTCCGATGCGCTCGATCCACCTACGTGGGACACCCTTCGATATTTAACGACGAACACACATGCACTTGGACAGTGGATCCCGCCTTTGGCCCTAGCTATCCTGATGAGGGTTATTACATCCCGGTGGAAGCATCAACTCGTGTTTCCAATCTGTGAGTACAGCTTATTTTCTTTCCGGCTGTCAAGTTACTCATACTGCTCATACCCAATCTTTTTTTCGGACAATAGATTTCTTGGTGATGCCGGTGGTGTTTTATGTGATAGTCATCGCTACAGGTCTCGATCTAGACATGTTACGAAGAGACGGATGGCTATTCGATTCTGCAGGAACGACTGGGTCCGAAGGTTGGTATGGGTTCTACACCCATTTCGGCCAACAGGTCTGCCATCAGGGCATTCACTCGCTGGTAAGGAATGGTAGGCCACAGGGGGCCAAAGCTAGATCGTCAAACTACGCTAGAATAGTGCAACATAGGGTAGAACCACCCTCACACACTTAAATTCAGACTTAAAAAAAGTCTACGACTATGAACTGTAAAGGGTTGGTTCGTCAGTCCGGATCCTCAGCAATACTCCGTAACTTTTCCTCAACGCGCACGATCGTTCCAAAGAAAAGGAAACCTTGTAGTTGGATAATGTGTGTTTGTTTCGAGACTTCGTGGATGTAGGCCCTGTATGCAGCAGGACGGCGGACAGTGGACATGATTGCGCTGCCAGGGTAGCATGCTTGAATATTCCGCCGCCGCGAGTTCTGTACGACAAAGAAAACACCTTTGCAAGGAATGAACGATACATGCTGGGATCATAGTTAAATGAAAAGAAAACTCACAACTGACAATTATCCCGAACAGCACGCCAATCATGAAATGCCACAGTCATCGTCACCATGATGCTCACGATGGTCACATACTCAGTCCTGCAATGAAATCGGTGTCAGCATCACCCGTTCCCCCTCCACCTTGCGGAAAAGGAAAGAAAATGTTGCCACGCACCAACTCACGCGATACTTTGTATCCCACAGTGTCCCCTCGACAAGGTCAATTCCAAGCGCAAAAATTAATGCACCGACGACGACGAACGCTATCACAGGCAAGTGAACGGACCCTTAAACGAGATTTGAGAACTCAAGTGAGGTGACGACGTACGGATGTATGCAACTGGTGCCGTGCCGACCAGCGGGATGAGAAGGGTCACAAGAGCAAGCATTAACCCTGCGATTCTATTTCCTCCTCCGACACGGTAGAACCTATCGAACGACAAGCTTCGCGTGAGTGTCCAGTACAGAAAAATGCAGGGAACAATTACATCAACGTATTGACGTAGACAAGATAGTTGGGCCTACAAATGGAGCGAATTTGTCAGAATGACCTGGCAACATCACACTACGAGGAAAGAGACGAGCATACACAGAACCCAGAAATCCAGAAATCGAATTCGGCGATCCATACCCGACGAGTTCCTTGTTTGTGTCGATATCTTGATTCAACGAAATGGCTACTCATGATTCCACCACCGACCCAATCGCCCTCATTATATCAGCGACTTATCATGAAACAACCAGACCGTAAATTAGACTCACACAAAGCGGGGACGTTGAGGGGCGGATGCAAAATATTAAAAAACAACCTATCCCGAGAAAACCCTTCTGGCCCTGTTGATCTCAAGTCTATGATGTGACACTTACAGTGCTAACTGCGTCGGCAACGTATTCCACATTGGTATCCACTTAATCAAGCCGTGGTCTCCAGGCACAGCAAAATCAAAAACTCGAGAAATACACAATTTTATGACGAGAGACAGACTCGCCCCCCATCAGTCCGCTGTTCCCGCTGGCTGTTTTAGACACTCTGCCTTTATGGTGAGGATATGGTAGGAGTTTCAATATCGACAGCAAGATATACCGCGCCGACTTTTAGGATCGCATAGAGGACAACGATGGCCATCGGAAACTGTGGCAAGAAAAGAGGTACAATATCATCGGGACAAACAGATAAAGCATCTTTCAAGTACTGCGCGAATTGGTTGGAAGCGGCGTCGAGTCCAGCATAGCTATATACCACTCTTCCATCACATTCAACGGCGACGTTTTCTGGACGGGCAAGGGCACGACGTGCCAGCAGATCGTAAACGAAAGAGTAACGTGCAGGGTTCTCCGGCTCCGCTAAACTGTTGATTTTGACGACAGAGGGGGTTCCTGCGTGAACGCATGCTCGTTCGCTGTCATCATATTGACTTCCACACCAGACAATGAGGCGTTAACGAGGAATTGTTCAAATGCAAGAACGAGGTGGTCGAGCGTATACTGCATATCTTGCACGTCAGAACCGCCGGGAACGAACCTCAATGTGAAGGTGGGGTGTATGAGAGTGTCAGGTGCGGGGGCGTGTCGTATGAGCGGAAATGCGATCACTGAGCTAAGGAGAATAGCGAGAATGCAGGCTCCTCTAGAATCTCTGCAACAGAGTGGATTCCCTCGTTTATCACGCTCTTGGTAACTTCCCAGGTGGCCGAAGCACGAATGGCATCTGGAGCAAGTGGCAGGGACAACTGCTCTCGAGGATAGAGAATCGAGGAGAACCAAACCCGTCGAGGGACGAGAACGATCCCTGGCAGTACCGGTAACATTGTTCTTTAGTGGTAAATCTCGAAGACGTTAGATGACACGCCCTCGGCGGTGAGGATACCCTCGGTTCCGGCATGCTCTGACAGCACCACAGCCCAAGCATACAGCAGAGTCAATCGAATATCCACGTGCTTCATTCGTCCCAGACCAAGATGCTCGAAATCTGTGTGTGTTTCCGTGACTCAAATGGAAGCAGATGCTGAAGGTGCACGAACACATTTAGTGAGAGGGACCGAGCCGAAGTCTGACAACAGGGTGTACCAGTAGCGTTCAGAATCTGCGTATAACTGGCTAGTTATCATATTACACCCAGATGGTGGGACGGGGGAGACAGCAGAGGAAGAGGAGCAACACCAGTCAATGTAGTGAAGAATGCATAGAAGAGAAGAGTTGTCAGAGAGCAGAGGACTTGCAGATAAAACAAGGTGAAATGACCCATTATGAACATCGCCGAGGATATACATTCAAGTAACGTTGCAAGGGGTTCATTCGAAAATGCCATCGACAACATCGTGAAATCGCTGTTCGACGTTTGATGAGGTGAATACGATATTATCGCCACCCCTCCAAGTGGTGTTATAAGATGAACTCCCATGCGGAAAATTGTATAACCGGTATTCTACGAGAGAAGGGCAGGAGCTGAATCGTCGCGCAACATGCCAATCTTGCTCACAGAGTATCCACTATATGAAAAAAGGCTATGGGTGGCAATGATTTGTCTAGTAGATGATATGAAGGTCAACAACTAGATCCCAGTGCCCTCGAGACGCTGCACAAAGTATGGGCAATTTTCCGTATGTGCATAGGCGAGTGGGGAAGGGATCACTGAGCTTGTGTTCAACGCCTTCAGTTGGGAAGGAAACAGTTTGGACTTTGCAGTCGCTAGTTAATAGCACTCAGACTTGCTCGGTTCCCTGTTTTGTGTGAAGGAAAACGTCCGAGAAGCCTGAGGCCGCCGCCGCCGCCACGATCATGGAGCTGCCAAGAGTGCACATGCATGCTGTGTCACCGGATATACCGTGTCAAAAATTGGGGTGGTAGCGATGGTGTGACAGGGGGAGTTCTTGATGCTGGGTCATGATGAGCGCACTTGCTAACCCAAATTCATATCTTGGTAGAATAGCCATGGGGAAGGGAAGTGTAACCGCTAGCCAAGTAAGTTGAGGCGTTTGTCATGGATGTATGCATTAATGATGCGACGCGTGCGCCGTCTTGAACGACGAGCGTGTTGTCGTCCCCATAGAATCAAGCCATCGATGCGATGGACTCGGAGAGACTCTTCAAATCTGTGGATTGCAAGTACGGATGGGGCGGGTACGGGTGACCGTTCTGGACGATGAAAAAGGGTCATAATTTCACCGATGGCGACCTTCTAGACTTCCGACGATGAACTGGGTGCCACCATTTGTGGTTCATGCGACAAGAAGGGATATTTCAGCCGTTCACAATACCCGTTACACATGCAACTAGTGGGCTGCGGAAGACTTCACATTGCTGCGTTATATGAAAGTGACCTGCAGGTCATTCCATACGACTGAACGTAATTCGCAACAAAACATGCTGCATTGAGGTGGGTATGAAGGAAGTACTCTCACCTGACTGCCTAAGTCAGCTTAGCCAGTTACAACGCACGTTGCCCTCGCCACACATGACCTCCAACCACGTTACTAACTAACTCTGTCCATCTAGTCCTTCGAGTCTGTCAGAGCAACTCCTTTTCTAGCAGAAAGCATGAATTCACTGTACTCGGGTATGCGTACTTAGATTGCACTCACCGATCGAAATCATTTCATAAAATAGGGGCCGATAGGCACGCGTGATCCGAACGAATGAGAAATGCTATATGCACGTTGCAAGGAGGTTCAAAGACGACCCACCTTCGGCACCGCGATAAGCGTGAAAAGTGAAGAAGGTCGACACGTTCCGACACTGATGACACTAAGGGAATATCCGTGGCCGGAACAACAGCCGAATGTTCAGGCCCGTTCGAACCCGATCGCTGACGGATATTGGGCGGAAGTTACACCTCGAGGTCACGGCCTACATACTCTCTGGCCCGAAGTTATGCAGGGCCGAACTGAAATGCGTGTGAATGGTAGTCAATTAGCTGCACATGCGCATGCGCTGGTCAGTGCTGCATGAGATCGTAGGCGGATCGGAGGACAAGCACACTGTCTTCGTCGTACACCCATGAGGTATAATATTGCCCGCGCATACCGGCCAGGGCCTACTCGGTGGATCGTTGTCTGATCTGTAGACATATGCGCCAGTCAGTACTACACGAGACCGAAGGTGGATGGGAAAGCGAGCACGCTGGGTTCGTCGTGTACCCATGAGGTGTGATATTATCCGCATATAGCGGTCCGTGCTTACTGGATGGCTCGTCGTCTGACCTGCCATCACTATTATCGTGTTCTTGTATCTCAGTAACGAGGAAAACTGACCTGTTCCTGAGCGAATCGCTTCGCCAGAATTACATAGGCATACACGTCACCATGTACTAGCGGAGCTGGCACAGGTGCCGATGCGCTTAAATGGGTCCTCCGACTTCTTGGGCGGTTGAAGGCGCGCTTGACTAGGAGCTTGTGGCTCAGATTGATGCGGGCGCATCACCGCCTTTCGACAGAGCAGCCGACCCTGACAATGGAAAACATTCTGATGGGCCGAACGGTGAGACCCCGAGGGTGGCTTCCAGCATTCCCTCAGTCACAGCCTTATTCGCAGCACTATGCGACTCCAAGCATCGGGAGTTACGATAACCCCAATGTATTCGGTGGTTTCGTTCTCTTCTCAAGTTGTAGCCCAAAGAACCCGATCAGCCATCGGGAAATCAGTTCTGAGCACGTGTACTCCAAATTCGGATGGGTGATGCTGATTGGCCGGACAATTGCAACAACCTACATACTGAGGTCGAACTTCGGGTGTTTTTCCAGCAACAATAGTCGCGCCGACGTTTCTGCTCCCAGGTCTCAGTACCATGCTTGATACATCATGTGCAGCACTTACCGTATTGAGGGGTGTCGGAATCGTTGCCAGGGACGACAGAGTGAGAGCGCTCGTGGAGCGTGTATGACGTCACTGATCACGACACTAGAGACTGCGGGAGGAGGTGCGAGAGACTGATATTTGTGGAGGAATTTACCCCGTTTGGACCACAGCCTCAACGAGCGGAGAAAGAGGGAAGTTCTGTAGTACATTATCATCGATAAGACGCCGCCACCGCCGCGATCATGGAGTACTGTCAAGAGTGCACATGCATGCTGTGTCACTGGATTTACCGTGTCAAAAATTGGGGTGATAGCGACGGGGTGACTCGGGGTGGAGAGTTCTTGATGCTGGGTCATCAGGAGTGCACCTATTAACCCAAACCTCCACCCTCTCGAAATCGCGGCATGGTAGAATAGCCGCGGGGAGGGCGGTGTAGTAGGCCAAGTAAGTTTAGGTTTCTGCCATGTATGTATACATTAATGATGCAACGCACGCGCCGTCTTGAACGACGAGCGCATTGTCGTCCCCATAGAATGAAGTCGCATCGATGCGATGGACTCGGAGAGTGTCTTCAAATCTGTGGATTGCAAGTACAGATGAGGCGGGTACGGGTGGACCGTTCTGGACGACGAAATTCTCCATCGATCAGAATTTAGAAAGCATGTCGGCTAAAAGAATGATGCCCGCTCCAAACTGGGGTGCCAATGGCTTCTATTTCCCACTTTAGGCTTGCCCTGTCGTATAAAAACAAATGTCGTCTGAGATACGGTGAGCTTCTCCCCCTTATCCTGTGCTCTCACCATGTCGGAGAGCGTACAGGAGTCGAAGCGTCACCATGAACACCATTCCCACCTGGACGCAAAGACTAGGGTTGTATCGTGCGTCGTTCACTCCTCGTTCGTCCTCCACCTTTTCACCCGATAAGTACAGCAACCTCGATGCCAAGTTGGCCAATCCACTACGAGGGGTTCCATACGAAACTCTCATGAACGAGGTCGAGATATTCGCTCAGGAGAGGGGCCTTTCACATATACTTCCTGAACTGAAAAAGGGGGCTCTTGTAGCACAAAATGCGGATGGTCAGTGTGACTTGAATTTCGTCCCTCGGTCTGTCTCATACCCCTGCCAGCCTACAGGCAGTACGACATGTTTACAGACGAAGATAAGAAGTTTCTGGAGGACGAGGTTACCCACAAATGGAGACAAACAGGGACCCTGTACTACGTGCGCACTCCACATTTCGACTTGCACACATGGAGTACACCTTTGACGCGCGTTCTCCCATACTTACGTAGATGGTTGTCATG